TTCTCTTTTTTCTCCCCTTCTTTCTGCATACATATGTTATATCCCGTCTGCGGCGCTGACAGGTTTCGGAAATACAGAAACTGCGCGTTGGTACCTTCATTGAACCTTCGACAGGCGAGCGATTTCGGCGCACCTTTACTCTTCGGCTGCCACTGCGGAGGAGAAGCGTCCAGGCTGCTCTCAACGGAAATGGCACCTCCGCGAACACGGCCATACTACCCGTCTTCTCGGACCAGCAGTCCCTCTCAGAACGCTCCCATGCCGTGGCGCATAACCTGCGAGCCGGTGTGGTCCGAGGCTTTCAGTGGCTGAACTCCCCCACCGGCCGAGGAGTGCTCAAGTGTACTCTGGCCTACACGATTGCCAGTCTAGCCACCTTCTTGGCTCCGATTTCCGACTTCCTCGGCAAACCGGACGGCAAGCATGTAGTCGCGACCATCACGGTCTATTTTCACCCGGCGAGGTCCGCTGGCTCCATGATAGAGGCTATTCTCATTGCTATCGTTGCCGTGGCTTACGCGCAGGTGGTGTCCATCCTGTCCATGTGCACCTCGGTTCTCTTTGGCAATGTCTGGGGCAATCCTGCTCTGGCCCACACCCTGGTTCTGGTCGTCTTCATTGGTGGCGGGTTTGGCTTCATCGGCTGGCTTAAGCAGACCATGAACAACCCGCTGGTCAATGTGGGCTCTACCTTGGCCTCGCTTGCCATCATTGGTGTTGTCACCAAGGAGACGGCTGTGCTTACCAGCGTCTTTTCCAACCAAAAGATTATACAAATCCTCAAGATGCTCGCCATGGGCATCACCACCACTACCGTGGTCAATCTGCTTGTGTGGCGCGTTTCCGCCGTGCACTTACTCCGACAGTCCATGACCAAGACCTCCACTGCCCTGGGAGATATGCTTGCTATGATCACTCATGGTTTCCTCAGTGGAGCCGAAGATGAGCTTCTTTCCAAAGAGTTCAATGCCGCATCAGCTGCGTACCAGTCGGCTTACCCGCAACTGACCAAGAATCTGCGTGAGGCAAAGTTCGAGCGGTACTTTTTAGGCCAGGAAAAGATATACCAGCTTGATAGAGCGGTGGTCAAGTCCATGGAGACCCTCGCTCAGTCAATTGGTGGACTCAGAAGTGCAGCTAACACACAGTTTGCCCTACTGAAGGAGTCGTTCGAACAGGCCGATCAGCCGCCTTTGTCACCCAGGATGCAGCGGGCGGCATCCACTATTCTCAAAAGTGGCAAAGACCGGTCACTTGTCTTGCAAGCCATTCGGGAGGCTTCTGACGAAGGTGATGATGATGACGATAGAGTCCCACCTGAAAGCGATGCACGCCGCTCTGATGTGTCGACTGTACCCTCATTCCGCAACTCTGGAGAAATTTTCGAGCTTTTTATTGCGCTCTTGGGGCCTTCCATGAAGTCACTGGCCTATACACTCTCTGAAGTGCTTCGTGATCCGCCTTTTGGATCTGCCCCAAAGTACGAAATCATGATTAATGACCAGTTTCGCCAGAGTCTGACTGACGCTCTGGGTCTCTTCAACGATGCGAGAGCTAAGGCCCTCCATGAGTTGTACAAGCACCTCGAGATGGATCGGACGAGATCGGAACAGATACAAGCTGACTTTGAAGAAGTTGCGGCGGCGTGCGGCCACTTCAGTTTCAGCTTGCAATCCTTTGCCGAGGAGATGCAAAAGTATCTGGACGTGCTGGATGACCTGAAGCATGAGAGCCAGTTCCAAAGGCGTAGCTGGCACTGGCTTGTCTGGTGGAGGAGCAAACATCACCATAGTCGGTTCTTTCCTTCCCTGCCATACAACCAGGTGCCGGAGGAGCAAGAGGGCTTGATCAGGCCGATCAAGAAGACAGCCATCCCCAAGGGTATTCCCGATTCCATGGTCCAGCGAAGGGATACGTATAACTGGGAGGCAGCCAAAAGCCAGTCGAGTAGGGTCGTGGCGACGCTGTCTCAAAAACTGCTTCGGTTTATGAGGAGGCTTGCCAGAGACGATGTTCGCTTCGGTCTCAAGGTCGGTATCGGTGCCATTCTATGGGCCATGAATGCCTTCATTCCCCAAACGAGAGACGTCTACCAGCACTGGCGAGGCGAATGGGGCTTCCTCTCGTTCATGATCGTCTGTTCCATGACCGTGGGCGCAGCCAACACTACTGGTTGGGCTAGGTTCCTCGGGACTATGATTGGCGCAGGAGCAGCCTATGTGAACTGGAACGTCACCCAAGGCAATGCTTTGGGGCTGATTGCCCTCGGCTGGCTGATGGCCTTTTGGAGTTTCTGGATGATGATAGCACGCGGCCAGGCTCCCCTAGGACGCATCACCTTGCTCGCCTACAACGTCTCAACCCTCTACGCGTACTCTCTCTCCCAAAAGGTCGATGACGACGATGACGACGAAGGGGGTATGCACCCCATCATCGGCGAAATCGTCTGGCACCGGTTCATCGCCGTTACCGCCGGCATCCTCTGGGGCCTGATCGTCTGCCGCCTGATCTGGCCCATCTCCGCCCGCAAGAAATTCCAACAAGGTCTGAGCATGCTCTACCTCCAAATGGGTCTGATTTGGAAGCGCGGTCCCCTCGCCATCCTGCTCAGAAGCGACTGCAGCCGCTCCTACCTCAAATCCGGCGAGATGACCGCCCTCAAGAAATACGCCGCCCGCCTCGACGCCCTCCGCGCCAGTGCCGCCTCCGAGTTCGAGCTGCGCGGCCCCTTCCCCGCCGCCCAGGCCGGCAGACTGATGCAGTGCGCCAACCGCCTGCTCGACGCCTTCTACGCGATGTCCCTCGTTACGCAACGCAGGGGCCATCTGACCGAGGGCGAGCGAGCTTTGTTGCTGTACACGGCCGAAGAGAGGAAAGCCCTCTGCGACCGCATCTGCCACGTCTTCCAGGTTTTGGCTTCCTCTCTCATGCTAGAATACCCTCTCACGGACGCCATCCCCTCCGTGCTTGGCCAGCGGGACAAGCTCCTGGCGAAGATCTTTCGGTTCAGAAAGGAACATATGCCTTGCCGTACTCTACACAGCATCAGCGTCGACGGAGACCGAGACCGAGACCGAGACTCCGTAACGGCGACTGGACGAGCCAATAGCTATGTCGCTGCCGCGTCCAGTTTCGGACAGGGAGCGGATGGAAGCTGGAATAATAGCCTGAGGGGAAGCATTGATAGCTTGGAGAACGGCAGCGGCGGCAACATTATTAACATTGACAACAACAACAATCCGTTGGCGCATGTCACGGTGGAGGAACGCGACTATGCCCTGCTTTATGCTTATGCGCTGGTGACGGGGCAAGTGGCGGAGGAGCTGAGCGAGGTGGCGAGGGAGATTGAGGGGCTGTTTGGAGTTTTGGATAAGGAGTCTATTCTCTTGCAGTAGTAGTAGTCTAGTAGTCCTCGGTGGTGTGCGTAGGGGTGTGGATGTTGTTTGTTCATGGGCATGGCATGGCATAGCAATGGATGGCATGGCGTAGCGCGTTTGTTGCTGCTCTTGCTTTCTTTGTTACATACTTCCAATGAAAAGACCGGCTGTGTAGATAAATAGGTAAGTACCTCAGCTAGTGGTTCCAACTTCTGACATACGTAGTTTATACCGTTTGTCTCCATGGATGGACGGTCTGTACCTAAAAAAGAAGCTACACATTGGTCAAAAAGTGATTCTTTCATGATCACTACATCTTCTCACATTGTATTTATCTTGTCCGTGTCTCCCTTCGTCATTACTACTTACTTACTTACTTACTTCTTCACCTCCTCCACCTTAGACTATGTTATAAAAACTGATGTCGTCCCCTATCCTTGCTGCTCTCGTGCTCTATAAACTTGGACCACCTCGTCAGTTAGGTACTATTCTACGGTAGACTTTCAGTGACGCTGAACTCTTCTCGACATTACCTACATGTCTCTAGAGTACGCCAGATTGTCGCCATGTTAGGTGATTATAGTCAGTAAAATACCTAGATAGTATTATCCAGCCGAGCACCGCAGCTGTCGATCGCGATTCACCTACCTAGGTGCCTACCTATGTACAAACCACGCCTGGCGCGATGAGACTATATCTACCTATTCTAACTAAGAAAACCAGGTAACAGTACAGTAGAGACTGTAATTGTGTAGATTTGTTTGCCTATGGGGTTTCTCTCTTTACAACCATGTGGTGAAGTATCTAGTCTAGTCTAGCCTAGTCTGATCCAGTCTGATCTAGTCTGATCTAATCTGATCTAGTCTGATCTAGGCGGTAGGTAGGTAGGTAGGTAAGTAAGTAAGTAAGTAAGTAGGTAGGTAGGTAGGTAGGTAGGTAGGTAGGTAGCTAGGTAGGTAAGCAGGTAGGTAGGTAGGTAATTGCTTATAATTGTAAGTAGTGTCCTAGCTTGGTTGGAGAATGGGAATGGTGAAAGATGTCCGTCCGTTCCTTAGTAGGTTAGGTCAGTTCTAACTGACTCTGTGTACTTCCTCGGAGATGGAAAAGAAAGAAGTCTTGCAAGAATCTACTTGCACACACGCACATGTCTGATATTCAGTTAGTAGGTAGGTACGGTTAACTTTTCACTGCTGATTTACTGAGTGATCGCCCGGATTGTGATTCTATCTTCTCGACTTTGTTATTGTCTCCCCCATTTTTTTCTTTCTATTCTCTTTTCCTTTTTTTTCTTTTTTTACTGGTTTCTTATACCTACTTTCCTTCTTTTTTTTTTTTTCTATCTTCGTCTTTTTTTCTATCTTCCTTTTTTCTTCTGTCTTCTTCGTTTCTTCTATCTTCATTTATTTTTCTTTTTCCAAGCACCTTTCCCCCCCCCCCCCCCCCTTTGTATGCCATAATGTTCTTGTCCTTTCTGACTCAACGCCACTCATTCATCATCATTCATTTTCTCCTGCACATGATGCTCAATTCCTTAGTTTTTCCAGCTTCGATTCTAGGCAATCGATCGATCGATGTCTTCTTCCTGCTCACGAATTCCGCTCCTTTTCATAATGACGTCCGACCGACACGTAACGGGACAGACATAAGAGGACGCCACACCAACCTGCAACTTTGGCGGCCGTGTAACGGACTATCCTTTCGCATCCTTCTTACTTAGAATCACGACAGTGAATGAATCACGGCGCATATGATGACCGATTTCGTTGGAGCATTCGTTTATTTCATTGATTGTTGCTTTGTATTATTCCTTTCGTCGTTCCCAGCTTTCTATCAAAATTACATTTCTATCATTACATTCCCACCGGTAAATACTTGGTGTTTGTAGTGATGTGTGTCTGTGTGTGCATACCACGTCCCGTACATGTCATGTGTGTGTACATTCTGTGTTGTTCACTCCCTCCTCTAATGAAGCTTCAACTGACTTGCCGACCGATGCCCGGCTAGGAAAAAAAACCGACTTCGTGGAAAAGTCAAAACTATTCCTTCCTTCCCGTAGATGAGATCGATCCCGCCTAATGAAAAAGAGGAATAATAGAAGGAAAGCCCAAACTTTTGTTATCCCCCAGTTGGAAGTGAAAACACGGCAAGTAAATGAAAAAAAAGGCTAGACGAAGAAGCAAGAAGAAAAAAGAAAGTAGGGTATTATAACCTGCGTAAATGAAACAGCTTCAAAAAGCTTGGGTGAAACATCAAAGAAACATAACGCCAAAACTCGCCGAACCATGTATATCGTGTATCGTTCGAGGAAACTCAAAAGACCCAAACGCCTCGCCATGCCGATACTTTCGCTTGCTCACTCGCTTTCCCAATTTCATAACGCGCCCATTCCAAACGTAAAATCCCACAGTTAAACACATTGCTTGTTGTAAAGAATAAAATGACCCAGGTAGGTCATCGAAAACAACGGCTTCCTAGTAGAAGCCTGGATGTGAACCGTTAAAGGCAAGTCCGTTACCTCCCGCCCTTGAGATAATCCCCATTAACCGTCCCATTACTTTTCGGCGTAGTCTTCGGCGACGGTTCATCAGAGTAAACGTCCACCGGCTTCGGCCTTATCGGCGCCCCATTCATCATCGTGGTTGGCCCAGTCATAGTCGAACCATTCGTCATCGTCGCAGCAACAGTAGTACTGCTAGCCGTTTTCGGGGTGATCGTTCCATTGACCATGCTGCCATCGCCCTTTCCATCCTTCATACCCTTCCATTCCCTCCCCTCTTTCTTGTCCTTCTTCTCCACCTTTTCATCCTTCTTCTCCCCCTTCATACTCCCCGTCGTAACCGATGGCACAGTCTCTGTCTCGCCCTGCTCCTCATAAATCGTCGCAAACTTTTTCAGCACCTGCTTCAGCGCTGGTCTGCGAATCGGTTTACTCAGAAATTCGTCCATGCCGCTCTCCATGCACTCCTTGACATTACTTTCCTCCGAAAAGGCCGTCAACGCCACAATAGGTGCACTATACCCCATCTGTCTAATGAGCCTCGTTGACTGCAATCCGTCCAGGTTCGGCATCTGAATGTCCATGAAGATCACGTCAAACTGTAGGTTGTGCTCCATGTTGGCTTTCACTAAATCGTAGGCTTCTTGTCCGTCTTTTGCGATGGTCACGTCGTAGACTTCTTCGAGCTTGAGCAAGCGCGAAACGACTTCCACGTTGGTGCTGTTGTCATCGGCGACCAGGACGCGGAGCTTGCCGGGGCCGGAGGAGGATTGCTGCAGTTGTTTGGCGGCCATGGCGCGGTCGATGGCAGCCATTTTGTCGTCGACGTCGCCGGAGGTGGTGGGGGTTGTGGGAGGGGGGTGTTTGGGGGTAGTGGCGAAGAAGGGTTGCGAGAGACCGACAAGACGGGGTTGAGTGTCGAGGACGGACGCGGCGGCGGGTGGGGCGGTTGAGTGTTGGTCGTGCCCGTGGTTGTGACTGTGGCTGTGGCCGTGGGAGTGACTGCGGTGGATGTCGATGGTGGATTGCTTGGGGAGGGGGTTGCGGATGGTTTCGCCGTCGAGAGAGCCGGCGGAGGGTGGGCGGGAGGCTAGGGAGCTGGATGCTGTGGATGAGGCGCTAAGTTGTGTTAGCTTACGTTTAACAATCAGAGGCAATGGACGGCTTACCGGTCCCTGACATATTTCAACGGTATCCGCATCGTAAACGTCGTTCCGACACCAACAGTACTCTTAAGCCCAATCGTGCCTCCCATGATGGTGGCTAACTGGGAGCAGATACTGAGACCCAAACCGGTACCACCAAACTTCTTGCTCAGACCCAGATCGCCCTGAACAAAAGGCTCGAAGATCTTTTGCTGCATATGCTCCGCAATACCCGGACCGGTATCTTCCACCTCGAACTCGAACATAAACGTCTTGGCATTCGGTGGCGGAGGGGTTGGTGATCGTTCCCTGATGTGCACATGAGGCGACTTGGGGTCCATGGGGTTGATGGAAAGCGCAGTACCACTACTCTGGTTCAGATTCGGCGAGTGCGGCGCGCCCTTGGAAGATTGCGAGTCCCTTGATCCCGAGCCTAGTCTATGGCGAGACCGACCTGGACGGTGCGAGTTCTTGGATAACGACGAAGTCCTGCTTTGGTTATGGGGTTGTTCCATCTCGCCGACGCAGCGTATCCTCAACTCGACTCTCCCACCTGCCGGGGTGAATTTGAGGCTGTTGCTAACCAAGTTGATGATGACTTGGAGGATACGGTGCTGGTCGCCCCAGAGACACATGTCCTTAAGACGGCCTACACCGGGAGGCCCAAGGGCGGGAAGCCGCTTGTCAATGCCGCTGCGTCGCTCCGGACTGCTCTCGAGGATGTCGGTGCCGACGAAGCTAACAGTGAAGGTGATCTTGTTCTCGCGGATCTGCTTGTCAAAGATGGCCAGCATTTGGGATCTTATCTCACCAAGTCTGAACTCTCTCTCTTCCAGGCTGACTTGTTGACCGATTTGATTTTTGGAGAAACTGAGGAGATCCTCGAGTAAATGCAACAGAAGGTCGCCTATCACGGTTAGTTTGATGAAAAGCCGACGGGATACATAGGGGGGGGGGGGGGGATCCTTACCGGACTTGTAAATCGTCTTGAGCGACTGCTTGATGCGAAGAACATCATCTTCCTCCATCAAGACTGCACACATGCCCATGATTCCATTCAAGGGTGTCTTCAACTCGTGGGAAATGTTGGCGATAAACAGCGTCTTGCTTTCGTTAGCAGCTTCGGCGGCCTTCTTGCTGATTTCGAGTTCTCTCGTTCGCTCGGCCACCTTCTCGTCTAACAAAGTATACTGCTTCAGCAACTCATCCGACATCTCGTTGAAGGTTTGTGTAAGCTCAGTCAGCTCGTCGGTAATGTAATGCTTCCTATCCTCCACCTTTGCGGGAATCTTGAAAGCATGGCGATGCGCATCCTGTGCAGCTGCAGCTCTCAATCTCGCCCTCTTCGACTTGCGCATCCTCCTCTTCAAACTTTTGAGCCAGCTCTTCTCGGACCTTCCCGACGTGGTGCCGCCCGAACTAGGGTTCTCCTCATCATAGTCGGAATCGGACAATTCTTCGTAACCCGGTGGTGCAATCGATTTCTCGGTGGCCTCCTTTAGCCGGCGAATCGGCATGACGCTCAGGTGAGCACACGGAATGGTGAGCAGTAGGACAAGCCCTGCGGTACCAAACACGCAGCCTAAGAGTATGTTCCTCAGCGTACGGATCGGTTGCGTCGCCTCTCGCTTGTCCTGTTCTACAATCACCGCCCAGGTAACCAGTGAGGTCTGTGGCCGGGCAGCGCCAATCGCCACCTTCTTGCCCTGCTCATTCTTGGTCGAGATCTTGCTCGTGGCGTTGTTGGTCTGATTGTTTTTCTCCACAAAAAGATCGAGCACCGCCTGGTACGTCGCCGGATCGAAGGGGGCATCATAGGCACCGGACTCGAAGCTGTGGTCGCTGTGGCGGTCTTCTTGGCCGGGTTGGGGGGCAGGCGGTAACAGGAAGTGGACCTGGTTTGTCCTCGCAAACTCATCACGGGGCGGAAACCATGTTTGGTTGCTGGCAGGCATTTTGGAGTCGAAATGGTTCCACGGGTTGACTGGACCGATGAACAGAGCAACGCCAGTCTCGCCCAGGCCCTCGTTGGACCTCTGGACCTGGACGAGCTGTCTTGCGCTGGCAATCACAGTCATGTAACCGAGAATGAATCTGCTAGATTGATTCTCTCGAACAGGAACCGTAATGGAGACAAGCGCGTACGACTCGTTGACCACAAGCGGTCCCAAGAGAATGCCGTTGCCTTCGCTGCCATTGCTCAACGAGACGCCAGGGAATATGTTGGCAGAGAATTGAACGGTGTTGGCCTTGTAAGGGCTCGGCAGGTTCTTGTTCTCGTATGTGATATTTGGGTAGAGCATAGGGGGGAAGCCATAGTCGGGATCGCCGAGTTTGATGTCGGCTCCAGTTGGGGATTTGTAAGGAAGATAGACAGGGTCGTCCAGGGCATCTTGGCCGGTAATGTTGAGAAGGCCACGTGGATCACCGGTGGTATTGCGAGAATACAATCTGGCTTGCAATAGACCCGACACGTTGCTGGTGGAAAGCGCGCTTGCCAGATCCTCGAGAGCCTGCTCCCAGACGTCCGCAGTTTGATTGCCATAGTATTCATTGGTATAGAAATCCTCAAAGGCCTGCTGAAGCAAGAGTCGTGTGGAGATGGTGGTGCATGCCGTCTGGATCAGATCGATTTCGGAAGAGATGCGAGAGGCCTTGAGAGAGGCAGACAAGGCCAGGCCATCCGTCTTGACGCCAATGACAAAGTTGTTGACAAAGGTCCATACGGGGATTGAGACAATGGCGAGGGAGAGAAGGACGGCAAAGATGACAAGGGCCGCGAGCTGCTCTCTAATTGCGATCCTCATTTTGAAGTCGCGTACGAGGATGAGGAGGGACTACCGAGGGGAAATCGGACGGACCCAAGGCGACACCTGCATTATTGTCGATCTAGTCTGGGGGAAAAGGGTCTGGGTGCGCTTGCGTGCTTGCTTGGTGTCTTGTGTGGTATGTCTTTGGAAAGTTGTAGTTGTTGGATCAAGTTTCTAGAAAGACTGAGTAGACAAGGACAGGCTGGCTTTGTTTGATGCGAGGTACCCTAATCTAACTGGAGGAGGAAATGACCAGCTGGCTAATCGATCCGGGTCTCAGATGGGGGTCGGGGATGGACGAGACGAGACAAGCAGGTGTGGCAGGATCCAGATGGCACCGAGAATCCGTCGTGATACCCGGATGATTAGTCGTCGTCTTGGTAGAAAGAGGTGAATGGGTAGTGGTAGTGCTGAGGGTAGTGGTAGCGGTAGCGGTAGTGGTGGCGGTAGTGGTAGTGTGGTAGTGTAGCATGTAGGTATGTAGGTATGTAGGTAGTATAGTCGGGCCTAGACTCCCAAGAGATGCTGCACTGCCGTTGCTGATCCCGTCGTGGTGGCAAGTGGAGGCGAGGCTGGTTGGTGTGTTGTGGTTTGAAATTAAGTGTCCAAGTCGGTGTGTGGCTCACCGGCTCGTCCAATCCAGCAACAAATCACTAAACTGCCTGGGAGCGACAGAGAGGGGAAAGGAAACGGGATGGGAATCAGGAAAAAGAAGATGGAAGGGATGGACATGGACACGGGACCGATTCGGACAAGTCGGCCGGCGTGGTTGGGGTGAGTGAGTGAGATTGCGTTTCTCTGGGTTCAACAGCCACGGGGAAAGGTTTTGCAAAGGCCAGCGAACGGTAGGTAAGCAGCCCGCCCGGGACTGGAGTGAGTCCGTCGCAAGTCGAAAAGATGGAATGGAGATGCTGGCCATTGAGTGGCTGTAGCAGCAAATCTGATCGAGATCTCCAAACTGAACCGAACCGGAAGCCCAGAGAAGCTCAGCTTTGTTCGACATTAGTGTACATACATGTTAAGTTCACTCAGTGTGTCGCTGTAACCTCGACTTGTCGTAGCATTGGCTGCTTTGGGACAGGTACTCTCTACACTACGCGGCACCCGGATGTTCTTTCTGACCAATAGTCAGCACGGTACATACCCGACGTTCTTGCCGTGTCTGACAACATCGTCTGTGGAGTGTATGGTTGGTAGGTAGTGTATGATTCAATTGTAATGTACAGTACTTCTTTTCCGTATAAGTCGAAAGATACCGAGTCTACGGTAGCCGTGGGTTGCTTGGTAATACACTATTGTATGTAGCAAGGTGTATCAGTGACGGCCGAGTGGATAACCTGTCAAGAAAAATAGAATAGCACTAGAGAAGAAGAAGACTGAAAACCACTCGACACCGACCGAGAGAAAAGGAAGAAAAAAAAAAAAAAGTTGAGATGAATGCAGAGCTCGTCCGATCGATGTGCGTGGCCTTGGCAGATGCACTCAATATTGGCCCCGTCTTGACTGTTCGTTGTGGATTAGCGGGGTCCACTCCAAGCTGCGTAGCGCACTGCTAGTGTCAAATAGCCTAGCACTACCTGGGTTGGCCCCCCAAGCGCACCTGGGAGCTCCCCTGACGGTAAACACATCATCAACCATGGCCGCGGTCTGGAATCACTGCATTCATGCCGTAATGGGAAAGGAGCTGTTGCCCGTCATGATGTTTGTTTTTGTTTCTTGATTCCCGTCCTCGATTGATGACGTTATCTCCCCAGAAATCCGTGGTCCATTTCCATTCGAGACCGTCCTCTTCCTCAGTGGGCTATTTAGTGGCACAATGTTAACACTCACCATGGACCACCTAACACAGCACTAACAAGAGACAACAAAGTCAACAAACACAAAGTCAGCGTCGCTTCTTTCCTTCCTTCCCCAGACCCGACCACCTTTCTCGCCTAAAACGGGAGCCTTAAGCGATGCATCCACTCGGTCTAGGCCCTAGCCTTATCACGGTTAGGTCTCAGTCTTGTCGGTGCAATGTATTCCGCGCCGGCCTCCACTCACACACACCTTTTCTGTTCGCTCCCGCCCGTCTGCAGTGCCGTCCCCAGTCCAGTGATTACCTAATAACAGGCAATTTATCACCTTAGTCCCGGCTGCATCACGGATGTGTCGGCGCGATATCTCCGACCTGCTTTCACCCTAACCCTGAATCACAGGTCGATGCAGACAGAACAACAAATGGATTCATTGCCAGCAATTCGTGATGCACTTTCCCTGATCGGCAATCTCGACAGTGTTTCATCTTCACCTTCACATGCTGTTGTCACTGCCAGAAGAGAAAACCACCACAACACATTGTGACTCCCTTGGCTCTGCATGATGAGCTAGCAGAGATTGCGGTCTGCCAACCTAATCTAATCATCACAAAACATTCAGAGTTTGAAACATTCGTTGAAGTCTGTCTCCGAAAGAAGGGGAAGACTTTGAAAAGAAAAAAGAAAAAAGAAAAGAAAAAAAGAAAAGAAGATACAGCAGTCCCTTGATTGTCCAGAGATGAGGGATGAACTCGATATTTTGCATTTCAAAAGTCTGTCGGTGACTTAGAGGGTCGCGTCCTCGGTGAGGTAGGTATCAGTCAACCTTGTCCATTTGTTGTGTTTGAGTTGCTGTAGGCTTCAATCTCCCAGTCCTCTGTATGGGCCATAAACAAACGCACATACATGATGAGTCAGGAACGCAGGTACGAACCCCAATTTGAAATTCACAGCGACTATTCCACATCACCATATTCTTTTCCCCCCTCCCTACCATAAAAGACAATGCTGTTTTTGTGTGCTTTTCTTGGTTTATCACCTGCCTGCCACTTTCCCTCTTTTCCCGATACACTTTCTCAACGTACTCCTCCCTTTTTGCCTTCCCACCTCTGCCAGTTGCACTGACTGACTGCGTGCGGTAGGCGAACGGTAGGTTTTCATATCTACCACAGATACATTCCCACAACAGTCGCCACCAATCCCATACCCATGGTCTTCCACAACCTACCCCCATCCACGCTGGCACTGCCGCCAGTCACAACCGAGGCCCACGGCGACGGCACCGCCACCGGCACATTCTGCGCATTCACCGACGCCGACGACGGCGCCTGCGGGTCACTGCTGGCTCCGCCGACCTGAGGGGTGGAAAGAGGGCGCACTTGGATCTGCCCGTCGGGGATCTGGGCGACGAGGTTGCTGCCTGCGGGAGCGGAAGCACCTAAGGAGGAGAAGAGTGTGTGTTAGCCGTGGGGGTTCTCTGGGG